CAAATTTGTCCCCAAAATATGGTTAAGTAGGTACACACACACACAATCTGATATGATTCCACCCAATCAGCTTATATTTGTAAAATGGAACAGCTTAAATAACTGAATGTGCACTCTTAACTTCAGCCAATCAAGCATTATATTATGATATTATGATAATTAAGCACTATTTAATGATAGAACTAGTGATTAGAACTAGCATATGCGAGTGATTTACTCGCAATGTAGAGGGTTGCATAGTAATAAAGAAAAATAACAGAATCAATGATGCAAACTTTGTCAGATATGACAAATAATTATAAATCTGACCAATGTAATATAATTTATATTATATTGGTTATAAACAAAACAAATAAGTTTATATTAATTTGTGTTTTAGGCATTGCATTATATGACAATAAATAAAAATAATTTTAAACCTGACCTATTCTAATGTAATATAATGCCTAAAACACAATTTGATATAAATGTATTTATTGTTTTGTTTAGAACTAATATAAAATCAATTATATGACAATAAATAAATACATACATACATGCATGTATAATAAGCCTGACCTATAATACCTTAACAGAAAAATACGTATTTATTGCTTTGTTTATAACTAATTTAATATAACTTGTATGAAAATTTTATATATATATATATATAAACAGATAAATTTTCATCACAGTCTGAGGATTGTTATTGTTATGAATTGTTATCAGGTGGTTGATGCCCGAGGGGGACCCAGTCTGAAAACTACAGTGAAGTCCAAGAAAGTCAAATCTCTGTCCAGACGGATCAGACCAAACCAGCTCAGCAGAGTTCAGAAGGAACTGAAGAGACACAGTGAGCACACAATCACATATTTCAATTACAAAACAACATGAAATGCTTTTTAACACATTCTTTATTCAATAATCTTTCACATAATTTGCTAAAATGTCTTCATTAACAGATTCAGATGCTCACAGCACCACCTCCAGTGCCAGCCCCGCCCAGTCGCCCAGCTACAGTAACCAATCAGATGAAGGCTCTGACTCGGAGTTGACTCCTGGCTCCGCCCGCTCTCCAGTCTTTTCCTTCTTGGACCTGACATACTGGAAAAGGTATTTATTTAGCAGAATCAGCCTGATTTATGAGTTTGACCTTATATTTTACATGATAATGAACACTTTTTAAATGAAACGAGTTCATGTACAAATCTCTCTAGGCAGCGGGTATGTTGTGGCATCATCTACAAAGGTCGCTTTGGGGAGGTTTTGATCGACCTTCATCTCTACAAGCCCTGCTGTCAGAAAAAACAGGTGCAAGAGCAGGAGGAAGAAGAAGAGGAGGAAGAAGAGGAAGATGGCGACCTTGAGAAAGAGGAGGTGCAGAGCAGTCAAGAAATTCTTCAACCGCACTCCTCTCCCCAAATGAAAATGGAGCAGGAAGTGGAAGTGGAAGAGGAATGGTGATGCAACATTCCCAGGGTACTGACTTGGCATTCTTAGGAAGCCTTCGAGAGTCGAAGCCCCTCAGACACTCTCAAAGACGTTCTCTCAGATTGCCTTCGATTCAAGAGCAGCTGGATCCTTGTTCGTCTTTTCCTGTTTCTTTCTTCCTTGTTGAGAATTTGTCTCTTTCATTTGCTTCATTTGCAACTTTTCCAGAGCCTGGTACCACGCTAGTCCATTTCCTATGAGGATTTTTTTGTAGACCAGAGAAAATGAGTTTCCTTTTTTGCTATCCCGCTCAAACACAGAATGCTGGATCTACATACATCATGCATAGAAATGTAGGCAATAGCCTTGGACAGTGAGCACAATCCTACGCTGTCGCTTTTGTGCCCTTTGAGCACCATTGTGCACTTCCTCTGGGGTGACTGTCTTTCTGCACTTAGTGTACAGAATTTAGTATACAGCAAGCAGCATCTGCTAAATTCTAGCTCAGTGAAGATAACGTTCCACCTTTTTGCTGGGATATAGCAATTATTTGGGGAATATCTTTTGCCTTTTATATATTTATTTTTTTCTGTCTTCGTCTTTATTCTTAAAGGGATAGTTCACCCAAACATGAAAATTCTGTCATTAATTACTCACCCTCATGTCGTTCCAAACCCATAAGATCTCCGTTCATCTTCGGAACACAAATTAAGATATTGTTGATTAATTCTGACAGCTCTCTGAACCTCCCATAGACAGCAAGGGTACTACCACGATCAACGTCCAGAAACGTAGCAAGGAGATCGGTAAAATAATCCATGTTACATCAGGGGTTCAACCGATATATTACGAAGCTACGAGAATACCTTTTGTGCGATACCGATCTCCTTGCTACGTTTCTGGACGTTGATCGTGGTAGTACCCTTGCTGTCTATGGGAGGGTCAGAGAGCTGTCAGATTCCATCAAAAATATCTTAATTTGTGTTCCGAAGATGAACGCAGGTCTTACGGGTTTGGAACGACATGAGTAATTAATGACAGAATTTTCATTTTTGGGTGAACTATCCCTTTAAGGTCTGCTCTGATTTGTATTTAAAAGGACAGCTCACCTAAAATTTATTTTTTATTTATATTTTTTATGTCATTATTCTGTCATTCACCCTCATATTGTTCCGAACTTCTTTCAATTTCTATCTTTTTTTCGTTGAACACAAAAAGTGAGTTTTTGAAGAACATCTAGCAGCTTTATTCAGTAATAATGGAAGTGAATGGGGACTAGGGCTGCTAAGCTCCAAAATGACAAAAGCACCCTAAAAGTATCTAAAAATTGAGCTGTGTGCTATGTTCCAAGTCTTTTATAGCCATATGGTAGCGATAAACCAAAGTTTGTGTCATATGGACTACTTTTAAGAAATTTTTGTGGAGCTTTTTGTCTTTTTGAAACTTGACTGTATCAGTTCCCTTTCATTTTACTATACAGAAAAGATGCAGGATGTTCTTGAAAAATGAGCTTTTTTGTGTTTAATGTAAGAAAAGTAAAAGATGATGATGTGAAAGTAAATGACAGATTTTTCATTTTAGGGTGAACTGTCACTTTTAAACCCTGATTTCAGTGCAGGTTGTCTGTATTCAGCCTCTAATAGGCAACAAACTCGACTCAGTGTTTTACCGCAAACGTTTCCCCAGACAGCATTTCTCTGGTGCTGAGGCAGACTGGGCATAGCCAACCAAAAATAATGCCTGGCTATCAACACTCTTTTATTCAGTGTACTAATGTAAATATCCAAAAGTGTAGATTTGACTTAAGGTTTTTGGAAAAGAGCATGAACGCTAAGGAAACTATTGTCTACTCTAGATGATATCTGCATGAATTTTGCATGGCCTTTTAAGAAGATTTTTTAATGGTTTTGCAACCATGTTGCAGCATAATTTAAGAATAATTTGGGCACATTTTGAGACCGTCCCAATATATTTTTGTAGATAACTGCAAGAAAAGAACAAAAATGAAATCAGACTTTGACTACAACATGACACCTTAAGATGTCATTGTTTAATTATTACAGGGATTTAATTGTATTCTGCTATTTTTTTAGAATTGGATATTTTCAATTTTGTCTCATTCAAAGCCAAAAAGCCCAAGATCTTTGCTATTTATTCAGCAATCTTATATTAATGTGTTCATTATACCTCCTTTCTCTCTTGCTTTCTGCCTTTTGTAAATACAGTGTTTTCGCAATGACAGATACTACTTTTTTTTACTGTCATGAAAGAATTGAGCACATGGTCTGATCATTTTGGTTGTTTTTTGGTTTGATATGTGTTTTTCTTTTGGCTTTTTCTCCAGGGACAATACTGAAAGGCTAAACCAATGTCAGCTTGTACATTTTCATTATAAATGATCGTCTGTAATAAGCTTTCATATATAAGGAGTATTCATACTATATATCCCGATGTTTCCCTTTTGTTCCAATAAGTCTGGCCTGCCCGTTTCTTTATAATTTTATTGTTTATGATAGACTTGGCTGTCTTGGATTGTACAAATTACGTTGACGCACACACACTTCTGTTTAATTCCAGGGGGTGGCGCTAGAGAGCTAATTGGTTTCACACAAAACACTCCATTGCACATTAATTTTAATTCTCTTTCTGGGCAATTTACTTCATATGTGCTCGGTTTTGAAATGGGTATTTTAATGGTGGCAGCTTGCGGCTTTAGTGTGAATATGCCAGATCACAGCATGATGACACTGTATTTGTGGTAACATCCGTTCAGGGGAAGCATCCTATAGTGTCATCTCTATGACGGCGTTATTTGTAAATATAAGATGTGTAAGACTGAACAATGGTTATTAAGAATACTCTTTTGTCTTATTTATTTCATATTTATTTGTCTTGTGGTCTTTTCTTTTTAAGTCTCATCCAATTTTGTCATAGGACTGACCTGTCCTAACAACACTGCAATATGGACTGAAAATGCTTTTACACATCACATATTGTCGGCCGAGACTCACTAAACGTCATGGAGAACTTCAGGACTAGACAGCTGTAAAAACAGACTTTTTCGGTGTATGCTAAGTACAACTATTTGATTATTTTTATACTTTTGTTTGAGGGTTTCTAATGCCCACATACTTTTCTTAGACTAGCCCTTTATTTGTAGTGCTTCAGGCATGTATGGTAGCTATGCACTTTGTATTCACAATACTAGAGATATATGAAGCAGGTTTTGTATTTTTTTACATATTGTACTTTTTACTTGTTCCTCAATAAATGTAACTTGTGGTGGTTACACTTGTTATGTGCATTGATGTAAACGTGCATTTGGCAGCCACTTGCATTGCATTCAGATTAATATTTTACTAATATGCCCTGGGAATTGAACCAATGACCTTGGCATTGCTAGAGACATGATACTCTTTGAGCTACAGGAACATATAGTTACGTCATGCCAGCAAATAAAATAGAATGAGCTAGAAGTGGCTGGTATTGCTACACCAAAGTTGTGGGTTCAGTTCCCAGGGAATGAACTGATGAAATAGGCTACAGTGAAAAGTAATAAATACTTTCATTTAGCAAGGACATATTAAATTGAACAGTAAATACTCTTATACATTTCAATTTCAATTTCAAACAAATGCTGTTCTATTGAGCTTTTCAGTTCTGAAAAACCGTTTCCACAAAAATATTATCTGTATTAACATTTTCTGCAGGTTTTATGAAGGTAAATGTAAGACTTTTAAGACCTTTTTAAGACCAAGTAAACATTGAAGGGGACATGGAAAAAATTCATTAAAATGAAGTACGTTTATGAATAAAACAAGAACAAATATCAGTGGGCTCAAAGAAATACATTTAATTCAAAGGGAAAATATGTAAATTTGTCTGACTATATTGGCAGATATTTGTTCTTGTTTTAAACGTAAGCACATAATTTCTCTCAAAAAATTATAGACATACATACTAATTTAAGGTTTGCAGTGCATGCAGCATTTAATGAAAAAAATATATATAAAAATCACATTGACTACTTTTTCTAAACACCTTAAATGATGATACAAATTATACCAAAAAAGAGACCGTTTTTAAAATTGTGACACCCAGAAGACACCAAGATTTCAACCCTTTGAGGAGCATGAAAGACACGTAATTATTCCATTTTCTCCGTTTTTACACAAATTGTATTGTAAACGGCATGCATCAAGTTCAGTCATTCAACCCTGTTACATATTTATCAATAACTACAAACCAGTATTTAGTTCCAAATTTGTCAGCCCCTTCTGAATAACAAACTAAATGCACAACCCTGTTACAGTAGGCTACTTATTCATCCCTGTTACCCATTCTGAAATATTTATTTGTAGCCTATATATTATTTGTAAAGTAAATATAAGATAGATAGATAGATAGATAGATAGGAGCTGTGGGTGGATGGGTGAGAGCGTGCTGAGGCTGCGCGCGGGGACATCCTGATTGCTCCGCCAGCTGATGGGTTTCCTCTGCTCTGAGGACATAAAAAGGTGCGAGGCGGCTGCGGTCTGTCCTCGCTGTTTCCCCACCGCTTTATATCGTCTTTCCACCAGCTCACCGAAAGGCTACCTCATTTGCATCTAAATGAGCAGCCTTCCCACCTAAGTCATCCTAACGATCTGAGAACGAAGCAAACAAACACACTCACCGGCAGAGACGCATGAGGTCGGTGAGATAGGCTATCTGCGGATGCTTTGCTCGTTACACATGTGCGTTATGTTGTCACATGCATCGGTGGCTTTATTCGTCCTCCAGCAACTTATTTGCGTTCTCTGCTCGTGGATTTGGGTGGTGGCACCCCGTCGATGCTGTTTGGACAGGATTATTCTGGAAAGCGTCAAACTCGTGTCGGATAATAGCTTTAAAAGTTGCATTTTTGCACTACTGTATCTGCTCTTTTTCAAATGCAAGTTATTATAGCTTGTTTTGGTGTTCTCTTTGATGCATAATCGGTGTTTATGAACGCCAGAATTGCATTAGACGATATTTGTACATGGCTGACAGTAAATGACTACGGTTTTTATGTTAGATAGTGATTCCGGGGATGATTCGCTTTTTTAACGTCGCATTTGTTATTCCAGTATGTAAATGCCATGTCATGGTGAGCACTGGCGAATGTCCAGACATACAGAGGGAGTTAAGCTCATATAATTATACATTTATCATGCAGGCTGTGATTTTTTTTTTTTTTGTGTGTGTAACTTTCCAATATATGTGTGCTGAGATTTCTATTTCAATATTTATTGTCATTGAATGACTGAACTCCTAGCACGATGAACCAGGATAGTCTAATACCTTAAATGTTTTTAACTTGAAGGTAAAGCAAGTTTATTTATGTATCGCAGACATTTAAAAAGTACATTTTAAAGTATAATTGAAGTACAAAGTGAATAAAGAACTAAATGTAGGGGAAAGTCTAATTGGAAAAATGTATTAAGGGTTCAAAAAATCGAATCCTGTCATTTATTCACACGTTGTCAAACCTATATGACCTCAAAAGGAGAGTTTTTTTTTTATTTTTTAGTTAGGCATGTATAATTAACTAAAACCATAAAAACGTTAATTCAAATGTTAGCTGATTTAAAAAAAAAAA